CGAGCCGTGTCTGTCGGGGTAAACACTCACAGAAGTTATTGTGTGTTTACCGATGATGCTTGACGCGATCAAGCGTTCGCCTTAAATCATATTGCCAAATAGAGTTTCAAGAGTTGCAACGTTGTTATCGGTAAATCCTCTGCACCTCAGTGGGAGACACATTCATTATATTTGAATACAAATCAGTGCAAACCGTTATCAGACGATTAAGGTCAGCTGCAAGGTCACAAGCAGCCGTTTGCTGTTCGTTTGGCCGAATCTTTTTTGACGTTAATGTTGAAACTGGACAACTGGAACATTTGTAATGTTATCAAGGAAGAAAATGATAATTTCAAGCTTGTTGTGAATATTTCAAACATCAGGGTTTTCATTTGGTTTAGTTTAAATTATAAAGCTTATTTAAGGGTATATAATTATTCTCCTCAACACAAGTGTTTTGTTTCAAAATGTTTATTAGCATCGACAAAGAAGAAATTATTAAAGGGCTTACATAAGCTCACAATCCATAGAGTTGAACATTTCTCTGAAGGATAGATGGAAAGATGGATGATGAGAATGAAAATCAAAAACAAGCGTTCAGAAAGGTAAAGGTACAGCTCTGGTCAGAAGTTTACAGACACTAAGAATATCCATGAATGTCTCTACTGAAGGGATTCCTGCTCCTCTTTATGTTAGGGTGGAATAATAATAATAATAATAATATTATCAGTGTTCTGTGAATTAAAAAAACAACAACAAAAACTGGTGGCACAAGTTGAAATCTGTTTGGGATTATATAGTGTCAAAATTACACAAACAAGCTTAATTATATACATACTGTATACCTCTGTAGTTAAATGTCTTATAGCAAGTTCTAGAAAGGCTACAAAGTTTTTTGGCTAAGTTTCTGGTATAATTCTTCCCGTTTTGATAGAATTTGTTATAAATTTGCCTCATTGTAGAAACTGCTGCTTAGTTTGCCTCTGATTTGATGGTTATTATTGCAACTTAGCTAGCAACTGGTAGCATTACACTGTAGCACCACCAGGGGCAGGAGGCTCCTGGCCACCCCACTCGATAGTGTAAATTTTAGTGGCATCAGTTTCATTTCATGCCATTATGCACAGCCAGTGACGTAACATTAAAGGGGTCATAGAATGCAAAACCGAGTTTACCATGTCATAGATGAATAACGATAGTTTAGTGGGTGAAATGGACGTACGGAGAAGCTCTAACCCCTTCGACACCTCCTTACTCTGCAAATCTCACACTTCTAAACTTCCACCATGAAACGGGCGAATTCAAAAGAGGCCCGAGTTGACGTAAACTCGGGGATGTTGCCTTATTTGGTTTTGGCCTAGACTTTTGTCACAGACCGAAATTGACATACAGACCAGCCCACTGGTTCACTGGCCCAAGGGAGGGAAGGGAGGGAGGATGGGTATGAAGTGTTGACTGCTGGGCCGCTAACTGGATTGGACCTCAGCAGAGAGCCATGAGCCGCCCTTCCATCCGTCTGAGGATGGAAGGGCAGGTCAGGTTTGGTCGCTCTGTCCCCCGCTGGCTCCCTGCCTGTTGGGATCCAGAGGCTTGCCTACCAGAGGGCGCCGAGGATCCCTTCCTGATTGTTTGTTCATCTGTTGGGATCTGGGGTGCTGTCTACCTTCCTCCACCAGAGGGCGTACTGGATCTCCTGAACCTGGAGCTGCCTTCACCAGCTGATTCTCATCTGCTCACCAGGGGACCAGTACTTAAGGGGGCTGTGGACAACACCCCGACGCCAGAGTGTTAGTTAGTCACGGTACAGCAAACCCGGGCCAACCAGCCTGTCTTATTTTCTGACTCCACTAAAACCAGAACCTGAACCTGATCAGTTTTGTCTTCTCTGCTTCTAGGAAGTATCCTGACTGAACCCTGGAACTCTGGAGGAGTCTCCCTTGCTGAAATGTGCCTGCCACATCTCAGGAGCTCTGGAGGAGCTCATCATCTGAAACCTGCCTTCCTGCCCTTGGTAGCCTACCAGGAGATCTACAGTCTGAATCTGCCTGTCTGTTCTCTAGGAGAGAACTTAGAGCAACTCAAGGACTGAATCTCAACTAGTCAGAAGCCTAGCCCTGCTGCTGCCTAGCCCTCAGCTGATCCCTCTGCCTCTGGTCTCTTCTGGTTTCCTCTCTCAGCCTGAACCACAGACCAGAGTATCCTGTGTGACCAGCCTGGACTCATTCAGTATCAGAACTTTAACCTGGATTGTGTTTCATTCAAATAAACTGTTGAACTATTCATCCTGTCTCCGTGGTGTTCTGAGTTTGGGTTTAGCTCCCATAACCCAACATGACACTGCCCCAGTCCACTGGGGTTCCCCGACCAGCCCCAGGGCTGATGGCCTGGTTCCAGCGCCTGTTGTGTTTCGACTACGGGCTGCACTGTAGTCGACCAAAGTCCCCGGACATTTTTTTAGGTATATGGATTCATATTTCTTCCTTGGCCTGATAAAATGTTAGTGTGCCTTTTCTTTCCTTTTGAATAATAGTGATTAGTGAGAAGCTATTGTTCCATTCACTATGCTGAGATGTAGGGAAAGGAAGGAGGTTTGAAAAGGAGTTTCCTCCCTAGGTTAGATAAGGGGGAAACATAGATAAACAGGTCCTTATTGTGTTTAAGATCCTCACGTCCTGTCTCTGGTGTGAACGGAAAACAGTTGTCTGAAATGTTTATCTGAACATATATTTACGTCTTTTGATGAAGTGATTCTCTTGGGAAGATTCAATTTTCATGTGTGTGCATGCTGTGGATTCTTTTTAAATGTAGGGGTGTGTTTCTGAAGGCTTCAGAATCACACTGGGAGCTGTACGCAGCTGTCTCGTGTGTTTCTCCTCTGCAGAGAAAAATAAAACCTTTTCCTCATTACTCTCAGTGCTCATTTTTACTCCACAGGTATGAAAAGTAGGACATGTCCTGGAAAAAGAGGACGTCTGGTCACCCTACCATATCAACAATTTGATGTTTCAGTGAGTGAGTGCTTGTTGCTATGATGCGTCTTTGCTCAGCAGCTTTGCTCGTTATAAACCAACCAATCAGTTCACAGCTCATCTAAATATTCATGATCATACCATAAAAGGAAGAAAAGCTGTCGTTTCATTCTAGGGCTTTTAACCAGGCTTGCATTAGGGCTCATTTTCAGCCCAACCAATGTAACGCACCCTATTCAGAGACCTTAAGGACCAGCAACAAATACCCTATATAGTCATTCTATCACCCCTTTAAAAATCACACAATAAACCAGGATATGAGCAGATTTCTACAGCAGGTTTACAACAATAGAAAATTCAAACCCTGAAATTATGGCTTTCAGTTTCACTATGCCTCTCAAAGACTTTTAGTGGCCCAATCTGGAGCCCCCTATCAAACATTTGATGATGCGCCACTGATTGTAACTAAAATAAACATCCTCCTACTGTGTTTTGAAATCACGACTTTGTGAAAACAAGGCCGCTTAAACCCATCTAGATTAAATTCTACATCAGAAAATAAACGTTAAGTCTGATAAGCTGAGTGTCAGAAGTGTTTTGCTTGCTAACAATAACTTTTATGCTCGTTAGCTCTAATGTTTAAAGTGACCTGAGACTGCTTAAAAGTAAAGTTTTAAGTCACATGATTTCTTTGAGTGTGTTTTAGAGAAGAGCAGCTCGTATGGAGCATTGATAGGTGCTTCATACTGAGCTGAAAAATCCTTTATTATACATTGATTAAGCTGATATTTGGGTCAAAAGTTACACAGTGTTGCTTTAAGCATCTTGTTTAATTTCCCTCCACCTGAAGGCGGGTGGAAGTTGGACACATTAGTGGTTCAGTCTTATTTATGAGGATTTTAAGACTATAAGGTTAAGATTATTTGCATCTTCATACTAACCTCTCTCAAAGCCAAACAGCACGGACAAACAAATCTCTGGAAGTCAGTGAATCACACAGACCTGCATGAGGTTTCCTGGTGTTAGATCCTCTCCTAGACATGTTTTTTAAGGTCAAATCTCAGGATTCAGACAGTTGTTTCAGGAGAAAGTTCTGATGTGTTGCAAATAAACAAAGCTGTTAATCTGAAAACTGCTAAAGAAAACCATTACCGCTTTGTTTTTCTTCCATAAATACCACCTTCCAGGATGGCATCGATCCAAAACAAACGAGATGTGGTTTAGACCCTCAACCCTTTAAAAAGTTGGTTTCTTATGTATTTTTTGTGTTTCGGTAATAATGATCTTTACAGACAAAAAAAGGCAGGAAGAAAAATGCTGGAGACCTTAAGCAAATGACTCAAGGTCATGAATTGAACCCCATAGGACTGTGATTAGGTCTCTATTAGCGTCTGTTTATGGTGGAACTGCTACGCCTTTACATATAATAATAATGATTGAATAATTGACCTTTATTGGTCTCACATTGGAGAATGCATCTTAAACCATCCCCTTGGGGAGCAGAGGGCTGCCACTGTGCGGCGCCCGGGGAGCAGTGTGGGGTTAACTCCCAGATTCCACATCCTCCGTCAGCACTTCGCCCTGTTCACGTACTGTCATGTTAATCAACGAGAGCTGTTCCACATCCACCGCTACTCCTCTGAAGTTCACGGTCCACGTACATCTTCTCTGTTCGTTACCATCAAAATACAGAGCCAAGCTATTTTTTGCTCCGCCCCGGCCGGTCAGGTGAAGATCCGTAATTCCAATCACACCAACAGGAAAAAGAACGTTGAAAAGATCCGATTTGATACATTAAAACATGGTAACGACAGATCAGTAGCTACAAATTAGAGCATAATTCTTGTAGATTCCCAAAAACTAAGACCGTTTTATTAAATGATTGGATGCAAACTATTGGTAACTTCAACATACCAGGAGGCAGATTTCTCATCTCCATCAAAATGTTTATTTTATACCGAGAGGTTTAAAAGTTTCATCACATCCAGTCAAAAGAAACTTCTTATCACAGACCTTGATAAAGAGATGCTGAGTTTGGACGTAGAGAACAAACAGTTCATAAAAAACTATTTTGTTTGATCCTAGTTAGGCCTGTTACAAAAATCCACAACAAAAAGAAAATATTTGGGCAAAAACTGCACATATACTGGATGCTGATGGGGATTTTTATAACGTGTCATATTAAACTTAAACGATAATTTCTGCATGTTTTGCTCCTATGAATTTAATGATAATATCGCTCATGCTCTCCTCAAGCTCCACAGAAGACGGAGCGCAGCAAGATGGGAAGAACAGCGGAGGCTGCAGGTGGTCTGGAGCGAAGCGGGACGGTGACGGAGGATGTGGGATTTCAGGGTAAGGGTCTTGCCCAGGGACCCAGAGTGCAGGCAATGGGGATCAAACCGGGTACTTGCCCACTGCTCTAACCCACTAGGCCAACACTCCCCCATTCACCATTCATCGCTTCATAAAACTACCGCTTATAATAAAATGAACTTCTGCTGAATTATGTCAAACATTGAGGCAGATTTATGGCAGAAACCGTTTGATAACTAGAAAAAATAAAAAAAAATTGTTGATTCTCAGCAACTTGGAAAAAAACATATCTGAACAAATTAGTCATCGCATTTGTACCAATTTGAGCCTCTCTACAACTTTCAAGTAAGTCAATAATGAATTCAATGTTGTGCAACCAATTTTATGTTAAAACCCTGAAAAAAAAAAAAACTTGAAACCCATCCTTAATGCTCAGAGCTTTATGACATTCATGTCTATCCTGGTGTGTTGTAAACTTTTTATCAGCACAATATCATGTTTTATATATATATAAAAAAAGAAAAAAAAACAAAGGGCATCACAATTTGCTCAGTGGGAGCATCTAAAAAAAAAAAATTGACAGACATTTTAAATCTCTCAAACTGTTTAGCAGCTATGGTGGATGAGGTTACAGAAATTCAGTGCTGCTATTTATAGATGGGCTTAGATGTTTGGGGGGGGGGCTTAACGAATGAGCACAACTACACAGGCTTTTAAACAGCTGGCGAGATCCACATTTGCACACCATGCTTTTATAAGCCCTTTAACACTAACTGGACTGTTATTTTACATAAAAAAGGAAGAAACAGCGATACAATGTGTATACAGAATGACTTTTCTCTTCTTTTTTTTTCAGTTTGTAAATGTTCATTTACAAGGGACACAAAGTTCACCAATTATCCTTCGGGAGAAAATATCTACAGTACTGCACTTTCCTAGAACTAATCTACTAACATTTCAAAGGTCTAAAGAATAGAGGGTGATAAATTAGGGTCCACTGGCAGCTGTGTGGAAACACTGGACCCACCAGCTTAGAGCGGCTCACTGATCTTTATCGAGGACAATAGCTTGATACGATGTCATTCTTCACAATCACATAGCTGAGAGAGGAACTTAAAGTACTATGGAGTCTTTCTTAGCCTTATACTTCTGTCGACTCTATATTGGGATGGAGGGATAGCTTACCTAGATAGCTTTACTGATTTTTTATACCAAGTCAGTACGATTTCTTTATCATTGGGAGGGGGGGGGTTCCGTTACTTTCAGTTCGGTGCTTTGTTTGTGTTACTTTGCAGATTGGTTTTCAATTCTAAAAAGGTGGGAAGCGTCCATAAAAAAATCCATTACTTGAGTTGAAACTGCCATGAGGACTGGGGCGCGGCTCGTATAAACAGTTCAATATCTGGAGTATGGCTGATCCCTGTAAGCTCCCTTGGTTGTCCGCACCGACGGAGCCTTGCCGCGACTGTTTGCCCACTCTTCCTGACCTGGTCACAGGAGAAAACACAGAATACACAGATGTGGAGTAGTTAGAGAGGGGGCATGTGTTTTTCTTTTGTTTTTTCACTCATAACACATGCGTAAGATGCAACAAAGAAACATCATTATGTCATGATTTAACATTATTAATCCTTTACAGGTCATTCATTGAAATACTATATTTCAAGCCAATAGTGTTATTAGAATACAGGATAAGACCTTATTACCTTTGTAACATGGGGGCAAAAATGTAATAAGAAGAAACACCAACTTGCCCGAATAACAATAGTGCTTCTATATGAAATTAATAAAAAAAATTGAAAGAAACACATTTTATTTTTTGGTACAACATAACCTTAGAGGCATTATTGCTGATAATGGCACTTACAGTTTTTACACGGATTAATACTAGGCGTATTAACGCGTGTATTGTTCGTTCTTTGGTTTTTTTCGTTTCAAAACAAAAACGAAAAAACAAAACAAGCATGTGGTTTTTTTGTTTTTCCGTTTTTTAAAACGAAATTAGGAAAAACGGCATTTGCAAAAATAAAAAAAAGGGTACGTTTTTTTTTTTTTTAACTGCAATGGTTAAACCAAAGACAAACTTTTATTTTGTCGTTATTTCAACAGACCTTATGGCAGAACTGTAAATAAAGACCTGAACTCCCAACACATAACTTTTTTAGTTACCAGTAGGTGGCGGTAATGTACGCTTTAAATTTCTTGCCAACCGCCAATACAATCCACAAGAAGAACTTTTTCAGTTAGCACTGCCAAAATGGAAACGTTTGTGTTATTTAGAGGGAATCGGCGCATTTCTTTGACAGCTAATGATCTGACCGTCAACATTTAATATTCCAAGTTCCAAATCGGTGTCCGACACATTGTTGTGTCTTTGCAAGTTGTGCTCCATACGAAACCTTCTGACGCTCATTACCGAGTAATGTGGAGCTCCATGGCGACTCAAAACATCACTGATTTCAGAGTGTGTTTTTCCTCTCTCAAAAACTTCGATAATCAATGCAGAAAACGGTTCAAGTGCTGCCATTGCCTTTTGTTTAGAAATGGTTTGTTTTGATGCCGTCTTCATCCACTGTAAATCATTTTTCTTCGGCGACTTACTTCATTTCCGGTACCGCTACATATTAAAACAACAACCGTATTTTATTTTCATTTAGATGGAAAAACAAAACTCAAACGCTGTTGATTTTCTATTCATTCGATTTTTCATTTTTTCGATTTAGGTTTTAAAAATGAAAAAACAGAAAAACCACAAGCTTGTTTTGTTTTGAAACGAAAAAAACCGAAGAACGAACCATACTCGGATTCGTATTAACTTTTAACTTTACTTTTCTACTTTTCAATTACCTTTTTTCGTGACTTGTTACCTTTTTTTTTCAACTTAATTTACAGTAGGTTATATATCATTGAAGGGTTCATCTCATTGGACAAATCCCAAAATCAGATGTAAAGCAATGTAGCGGGATCTTTGCTGAATGGCTAGATATAGATCTTGTGCTTCTAGACCTCACTGAGTCATCAAAAATGCTAACTTGCCTAATAAAGGGTTAGAGATATTCCAACAAGGCGTTTAGAGAGCAGATTTGGATGGAAAGCATTTCATCCAGGAAACACAAAAGCTTTTTCTGCAATGTTTCATTTTCCTTACAGATAAAAACCTGGAAAAAACTTAACTATCTGAGCCCTTTAGTAATTATTCTCCCTCCAATGATATTGAAGGAAGAATTGGGCTCGCTTCATCCGTCTGGCTGCACGTAAAAACAAAAAAAGCTCCATCAGAGCAAACAAGAGGCTCAGCTTTCACCTGGAAGAATCCATCTGCAGTAATTGAATGAAAGGATCAAATAGCTACTTGAAAAGGACCCGTTTAGTGGCTCCTAGCGAAAAAAGGTCACAATTACCATTAGCCCCAGTCAGGCCCGCTCGCCCCCTGCTAGCGTCAATGTGAGAGTGCTGGTATTGACGGCACCCTTTGTCTGATCTTCAGCCAGCGCTGAGACTTCCCCGGAGCTGGAGCTAACAAAGGCTGGCTCTTTTCTTTTTCTTTTTCGGAGGCTCTCTGTTGGAAGCACATCGCCCATACCCCTTAATTAAACCTGTCACCCTTCCACTGACACTCACTTTGAAGAAACACACCAAGGTAACCTTGTGTTTTGAGAACAAGAAAGCACGTCAGTGTTGTTTATCTGCTTCCTTGGAACCGTTGCCTTCCTTTCTGTGTGACCGGCACAGCACGATTATTATTATTAGTGTTTCATGCTAGCAGGTAGGCATCAGTCTAATGATTAAAGGGTACTTAGTTCCTTCACTGGCATGGTCAGAGAAGTTGGGAAAGTTTTAATGGCTGTGACTTGCCTCTGAAAGCACATTCATGGAATAAAGCGTGAAAAGCAAAAAGAATAGAAGTCATGGATCACTGCCATGTTTACCCTGCTAAAGCTGAGCAAAGGTAGAAGTTCGTTTTGGTGCCATTACTCTGTTTTGTCAGCGGGGTTGCAGTAAAACAGGGGTCGACAACCCAAATTGCTCAGAGAGCTATAATGGACAAAAAACTAAACACAAAACAAATCTGTCTGGAGCTGCAAAAATGTAAAAGTCTTATATAAACCTTGTATGGCAACATGGGCTCTAAGGGCCGGATCTATCAAAGGTTTGCGTGTAAAAAAACGTGAGCTATTTCACTGCGCACGCTAAAAAATGTACAAACTGATCTATCAACAGCGTGCTAAAAGGATTTGGTCTTTAAAACGTGCTAAATAG